GGCTAGATTTGAAATGCCTTATTTATTTTGGCTATTTTCTAAAACGTCTTAATTATTTTGGCCATTTATGCGTCTTCATATTCAATTTCTATCCACTACAAAAGCCCTACAAAATAAAAGATGGTTCTAAATTTCAAAATCCATAATTCTAGAATTTCCGATAAAAATTCAAAATCTATAAAATTCAAGTCCATATCTAAATTCAAAATAGAGTATAAAGTTCAACAGCTAATAATAGTAAAACTTCAAAGTCTAAATTTAGAAAATGAAAATACTAATCTAACACAACTTGAAATCTTAGTCTTCGATGAGCTTTGAAAAATCTTCAACGTCTTCAATATTTTTTCTTCATCTATAATTATCGTGAATCCTATAAAATTAGATGAAATAAAAAATTAGACAATAATATTAGGATTGAATAGAAAAAAGTTTTAGAAAAATGAAGAAAAACTAGAATCAATACCTTTTTCAAGCATTGAATCTTCATCTAAGTATTTATAAAGATCAATATCTTCCGACTCAGAATTTAACCAATTTTTAGAACATATAAGAGCTTCAACTGTTCTTGGAGTCCATGAACAACGTGAAAAATCAACTATATGTCCTCCAGTATTGAAAGCCGACTCCATGCTACAATTGAGACTGGAATTGTCAAAATATCTCTACTAATTTGACTAAGAATCTCAAATCAACAACCATTTTGCTTCCACCATTGAAGTATGTCAAACTTACTATCATTCTTAGCAAGCAATTCTAACAAATATACATCAATATTTGTTGCGTGTCCACAATTGACGTGAAAACCAATGCAAGTATACACCCTAATATTCAGTTGCGGTATAAAATAAAGTCGTATTCACAGGGACTGAGATTGAACTATGAAATAGTAAAATAGAATACCAAAAGAATTTAAAAACACAAACAAATAATGTGGTGTGAATTTTTATACTCTAGCAAACAGGCGAAAAGAGAAGAAATATTATGAAGTAAGGTGCTGGAGCATACAAATACAAGAAAGCACACGAAAACGAAGAAACAAATAAGATATATTGAGAGATCATGRGGGAATCACTTGAATGCTCTCGCTAACTCCTAGCTAACGCTCTAGCAAAACTCACAATGCTGAATTCCCAAACAGACATGCATGACTCTCTCATGAGATATCCAAATATGTTCATTCCCAACTCCCATTGTAGAGTAATTGATAACTCTCTAAATAGAGAGTTATTTGTGTATAATGTTGGTATAAATTAGCTAAAGATAACATCACTTACGCCCCTATTCACTAATTTTGTGCTAAAAAGACCATAAACACTAGTTGTCTACATTATAGTATTGTCAATTACAATGGAACTAATTTTAGTGCATTTTGCTATAGCTTTGACGATGCTACAACATTAGACTCAGATTCAGGAAGCCGAAAACGACAAGCTGACAATGAAAGGACTGCCCAACGAAATTTACCACAGTAATTGGAAGTTTTAACCAAAAGTGAGAGCTGAGTCCCTCAAGGTCCGTGTTGTTGCCCTAGTATCTGAAGGGGGTATAAATACAAACAAGAGGAGAAGCCTCCAAGAACACACATTAAGAAACATTCCCCTTGTTCATCCTTGGAAGGAACCCACCCTTACTCCAAGAAACTCTCTCTAAGAACCGTTAGAGAAAGCAAGGAGAAGAAGCAGACTCTTCAGTGGCAATTGGGAGTTGATCCTCAGCTCATTTTCTTCATTTTCTCATCTTTGTATGAATTTCATTCTTTCATTTGGCTTAACTCTCCTTATGGCTTTGCATAGCTAACCACTTGTGTAAGGGGAGACGTTCTAGACTTATTTTCTAGACTGTAAACGTGTTGTTTGTTTCAATGAAAGTGTGTTTTGAGTTGAAGTAGTGCATCACTCTAATTTTATTGTGCTTGATCACCATTCTGAAATATCTCTTTGACAATGTTTGGAAAAATGTGTTGAGGAGCGAACCCCTTCATCTCGAGCTAGAGTCTACTTAAGTTTAGCGTGTGGTGACTTAGGGATAAGCATCACCGAGCTTGGTCATAAAAACYGTGTGTATATTCTATTGATGTTTGTCTATGAATGTTAGTAGTAGAAAATTTGGGGTGTTTGGAAGAGCGTTTTGTCTGTTTGACCATTACACTTACTCCTTTAGTGCTACAACATAGTTAGGGTGGCTCAGAAGAGTCGATTTAATCTCCCCCTTGCGCCTTTATTTTTACAAGATTTTATTGAGTGATTGTGGATGTTTGGTATTTCTAACGAATTTACCCCTTGTGTTTGCATTAAGATATTTCTTTCAAAGTCTATTCTTACYCCTGTTTAGTTATTGTTGGAAGAAAGTTCTATTGCTTGTTGTAGTACTTTCTTGAGTGAATATTGAGTGTTTAAACATTTAGTCTCTGTAAATTCGAACTTTTATTACTAGCTGCGACGATTGTGTACACTTGCACATAGAAGAATTGGTAGCATAATTAGTGGACAACAATAATCAAACTTAAAGCRCAGTTTATAGGCACGATATGGTGAGCCTCATCCTAGAGTATTCAACATTCTACTTCAAGGAGAGAAGTCTCATAGAGGTTATCATGCATCAAAAGGACCTTTCCAAGTCACAAAGGAGCGGCCAAACACAATCAGTAAGATAGAAGTATTAAAACATCTCTATTAAATCAGCAATGTAAGCAGCTAAAACAATGTTGTTCGAAAGCTATAGCAAGCGATTCACTCCCCGAGGTTAAGGTTTAGTTCATGATAAAAGAAAGTAAAACAGTGTGTAAAAGAGAGAGATGACTCATTAAGTAGAAAAACTTTAGCAGTCGAAGAACCTTCAACTCAGTAGTGATGATGAAAGAGTTAGCTCCTCCTTTGTCAGCTTCTTCCTCGAAATGAGTTTCTTTTTCCAAGATTGATTCCTTCTTTTTCGTCCCTTTTGCGGCTAGGCTTAAATTTCCTTTTATATCGAGTCGTGATTTTTGGGGCAGCACCTGGAAGCTATATGAATGAGGTTAAAGATTTGGAACAGAGCAGTTACTGTGCGCAGTTGACAGATGCGAGAGCATCAAGTAGGCTCGAGCATGGAGACTTCTCCCAGGCTCCAACATTTCTATAACAACCTTCACAGCGCTAGCTTTGGCATCCTCAAATCTGAAAAACAATTCAAAATAGCAGAGAATTAGCTCAAATTTACATAGCTAAAACTTTTCTACCACTTTCCAAATCAAATGACTCACATACAAGTATTAAATTAGATTCCAGAACACCACCAACAACTTCTTGATTTTTGAAAGCTAATGATTTTTAGGTTGAATATCTCTTCTTTTAGTAAGGRTATTTCTTGCAATTTTATATGTGAAATTTCAAAGTTCTCGTCCCATTACGTTCATGACATGCATACATATTCYCACRATATTTGCATTTAACTTGAGGATTAGAATGATCACCTTTCAATTTTTCAAAATGATCCCAAACTATGCTTTTGATATTTCTTACGCTTCCTTTAATTTAAACTTGAAAAACGATCTTTCACTAGATCTAAGTTGATAGTACCAAATTTCTCTCCGACCGTCGTACCACTTGGATGTTCCGACGTATTCTTATTAACTCTGCAAAATACATAAAAATTTTATTAAAATCAAATGGAGTGACCAATCAAACTAACATTAATATTTAAACATCATGTACTACATTGAAAACAATATATTTAGCCAAAAGAAAATTGGGCCACCTAAACCCTTCCTGGTAAATCAGTAACAATAAGGACTTAAAAGGTTTTATAAATCTTCGGAAGGTTAATCCTCTCCAGAAATCAGAATAAACACAAATTAAACACCAAAAAATCACACGTTCTACCATGTTATTTAGGTAACTTACTCCTCTGAACTCGAATCCAGCTTGAAAGGGAGGTTCAGTATCAATCGAAAGCTGCGAATCCAAATGGTGGCGAGTGGGGTGGTCGTGCCGGAAACTGAACGGCACGGATTGAGTTGCGCCGACAAAGGTGGGGTTGATGACATTTAGGGATGGCAACCAGGCGGAGCGGGGCCAATTTCGAAGATGGAGGCGGGGATGGAGAAAAATCCCCAATGGGGCGGGATGAAATTTTTGGGGCGAGGGTGGGGCGGGGATTTCCAAGGAACCCGTCTCCATTATAAATATATATTTTTTAATTTATTTTGTTATTATTAGTATACTGAACAAAAAGTGGGTAAATGAGATATTAGCTTGATTTTTTTTTAAAATTAAAAAGTATTTATAAAATTAATATATGTTAATATTATTATATAAAAAAATAGAAAAGTAATAAAAAATTAAACAGGACGGGATTGGGGACGGGGGACGGGGCAAGGGAACCGATCCCCGTCCCCACCTCGTCCCCGCTGGGGAACCCGATTGGGATCCCCGGTTTGACCCCATCACCGGTCAAACTAGAGAATCCCCAACCCGATCGGGTCGGATACCTGCAGGGATCAGGTCCCGCAGGTATTTTTGTCATCCCTAATGACATTGAGTGGTGGGTGGCTGGGTTGAGCATCGAACAACGAGGTGACCAACCTCCCCTAATGTCCATTCGATCGGTTTGGACTAGTTTGATATGTACACCCCTATCTCTGGTCCTAGAAATTGACCCATACTATTCTTGTTCAATTCGAAACTCAACCCGCTTACTTGGTAGCTTACTTTTTTTTATACATAGGGATGAAAGATTTAACGTTTGACCTATAAAGGACTAAGATGCCTGAAACGACATGTCGAAATATTAACAACAAAAATAAAATTCAAGGAACTAAAAATGGAAAGAAAAATAGCTCAAAATTTCCAAGATAAGAATTAAACCTCAATTAATTAATTAATTATGTGGATGGTTCCAAATTTGTTCATTATCAATCACAATCACCATCGGATGCGTCTCCTTGCTGCTTACTTCTTCCTTGAATCGACGTATTGATTCAATAATTCTGCTGCAGTTCTCGGAGTCTCCTCATCCTCGAATATGGGCAAACGGAGCGAGGAGGAAGGCGAGGTCTCTCCCTTGCTCGAAACCCAGGACCATGACTTGCGCGGCGGCGCCACCTTCGCCGTCGTTTTCAGCACTTTGGTTTCTGTATTTGGCTCCTACGTTTTCGGTACCGCCGTAAGTGTTTTCTCGAAACTCCGGCCAGGCCACGTTTGGCTTTGCCGTTGGTATCTCCATTACAAATTCTTATGTAGGCGAACTTTGACTTTTTTGATCAAGTAACTCTGGATCTGAACTCGATCGGGAAATGTGATGAAATCAAAATAGTCGTTCGCTAATTACACGATTCGATTTGAATGTTTAGGGTAAATTTGAGATTACTTTAAAATACTTTCTGGAAACACTTAATTAGTGCTTCTTCCAAAAGTGGTCATAGAAGAAGTGATTACAAACTGATCCTCAATTCTCAGCAATTTGAAAATGATGGTTTGTGATGTTTGTTTTCTCAGATTGGGTATTCATCGCCTTCTCAGACTGGCATCATGACCGACCTGGATCTTACTGTAGCAGAGGTGAATGAAAATTACTGATGGTTGTGTTGTCTTTATTTATGATGTTATGTTCGTCATTGCTTTTATACAATTGGATTGGCGTTTGGTTCTTTACTTAGTAAAATGGTAGTAATCAACCAATCAATTAGATAAATATAATATTTAATAGGTTTAAATACTATTTCGGTCATTGTACTTTGGTTTTTGGTTCATTTTGGTTTCTTTACTTTTAAAACATGCATTTGGTTCTTGTAATTTGTACTTTTAATTTTTGTTCATTTCGGTCCCTCTACTAAATGTCTATTTTGGATTTTGTACTTTTTCAAAAAGTGATTATTTTGGTCATTTTATTTTTATCTCATTTTTTTAGATCAAAATTTTAACATTACACTTAACTCACTAAATTTATTGAGATGTACCATAAATTTGTATTAAATGGTTTCTATCGTGTATAAAATTTGTTAAAATTTTTCAAATAGAGCAAATTGGTCACTTTTTAAAATTACAGATATTAAAATAGACGTTTTGAAAGTACAATGACTAYAGTGAACAAAAGTTAAAAGTATAGGAACCAATATGGATGTTTTGAGAGTAAAGGGACCAAAATGAACCAAATAAAAAGTACAGGAAATAGTATTCAATTTTTTTTTAAATTTAATTTAATTAATTAATTAATTATTTATTTTTATGAAGGTAAAGAAAGTTTGTATTACATTTTTATTCTTTAGAACAAGATTTTGCTGTTAAATTTCAAAGTTGGCTCCCTCAAAATCATTATATCAGTTTGTTAATAGTTGTTAGAATAAGTTGTAAATGCATATATCTTCTTATCTAAAGATTCAATTAATGTAACTTTTTTCATTCTGTCTAGTTTTCTAATTGTTATTTGATGATTGTACAGTATTCAGTCTTTGGTTCAGTATTATCAATTTCAGCAATGGTTGGTGCTGTTGTGAGTGGAAAACTGGCAGATTATATTGGTAGAAGAGGTGTAAGTTTTATTATTCCTTCCCATTTTCTTGTCTTGAAATCACTTTTGGTAATTTCGAGCTCTCAGTAAACTTATTTGACTCTTTCCCCTTTGCCGTTCTTGTTTCCTGAGCAGACAATGGGCTTTGCTGAGATCTTTTGCCTCTTGGGGTGGTTTTTTATAGCATTCTCTAAGGTTTGTTCGAGTTTTCTWTATTTTGATCGAGTAAAGTTATGCTCTCAAGTTTCTCTAAATCTTCGAAATATTACAATACCATACAAAAAACGATTCATTATATTTTAAGCACTTCTTTATTACAGTATGCATAATAAACATACTTTCAAGTTTTGATACCAGCACTTCTAAAGAGGGCCTTGCACATTTTAGTAATGAATAAAAGCTGTATTTGAAAAAAAAAATTCAGTAACAGAATTAAAAGTTGAAAGAATTATTACAGAGTTATAGAWTTAAGAGTCTTAGAAGTTCAATGGACAAAATGAGAATTCCTTCTCTCCCTCTCCCTCCCTCCCTGTATCTCTCTTCCCTTTCCTACAAAGTTTTTCCCTTTCCTTTTAATGAAAAAGTTTTACCATATTGTTGTTAAATTTGAATGAAAATTTTCATTTGACTTGTCAAATTGGTGCTGATAGGTTGCTTGGTGGTTGGATATAGGACGATTACTAGTAGGATTCGGAATGGGAGTTATCTCTTACGTGGTATATGTTGCAAGAATTTCAACTCTTGTTGATTTACAATAGCTCTAATGTTTCCATACAAAAAGAAATGCTGAAGTATGACCTGATCGAGCAGGTTCCTGTCTTTATAGCAGAAATAACACCCAAGGAACTTCGGGGAGCATTTACAACAGTTCATCAGGTAAAAGGCAAATGATCATGAGTTTCTATGTCATTCAAGAAGAAACCGATTTCGTACGTCTTCTGTTGTGATGTTTAGACCAATTTTCATTTGAATATTTTATATATAATATGGACACATGTATGGATCTCTCATACCAAGGTTAACTTGGGGGTCGGAAGGGAATGAATAGTAATTAAAGGAAGTGAGATCCCTTGAATATAATTTTATATGAACGGGTTCCCACAAGGTTCTGTTGGATTTTTTGGCTTTTATTTGGTCATTCTAATTATAATTTATACAAGTTTTTTAAGGGATGGCAATTTAATAAGATAAAAGTCATAAAATAAAACATTGAGACACTTGATTTTCTTGAGTGTTCCTCTAATATAAATCTCCTTGTTTTTTATCATAGTAAAAATACATAGTTAAGAACAGAGCTGATTTCCATTGGGAGAGGGGTGTGGAAAAAAAATGAAACCAACTACCTAATTTCCGAAAATGTAATTGTCAGAAGTTTTTTTTTTTTTAAAAAAACGTCCATCTAGCAAAATCTAGTTGGCTTGAAGTCTTGCATCCAGGGTACAAAATTTCCCTCTCATTTCTATTGTTGTAAAAAAAAAAAGRAAAAAAAAAAAGAGAACAGATCAAACAAATAAAAAAAAAATGTTTAGAATATTCTCAATATCTTCAATACCTTATTATGTCAATTGTACAGTTGATGATATGTTTTGGTGTTTCACTGACATGGCTGATTGGAGCTTTTGTGAACTGGAGGACTCTTGCTCTGATAGGTAGCATTTCTACTTGCATGATTTTGAAACTTTAGATGAAGTTGGTTTTTTTTAGTACAACGACATGTGGGATGAGGATTTGAACACACGACCTTTTGGTTGGGGGATATATGTCTTAACCAATTGAGCTATGTTGGCTTATATGAAGATGGTTTATAGGCCATGCTTTCTCATTATCTACATTTTGTTGTAGGGGTAATTCCATGTCTAGCACAACTTATCGGTCTTCCCTTCATTCCAGAGTCTCCTAGATGGCTGGTAACACTGTCAAATTTCTGTTACTTATAATTGTTTGAAGAGATATGRAAGTGAATATTAGGTCCCATTTAATAATACTCTGTTTTTAGTTTTACTTTTAAAAAATAAGGTTGCCTACTAATAATTTCTTCACTTTGTTTTCTGATTTGAAGGAAAAAAAATACTTTTTAAAAGCTCTACTTCTTTTATGTTATATGACTTAGCTATGGTTTAAAAGTGTTTGGACTTTTCAAGGAGATTATAAAGTAAAGAATTTGTTAGTAATTCAAAGTTTATTTTTTAGATTAAAAAAACTAACAAAATAGCTATCAAACTTACTCTAGATTATTTCAATATTTTAATAGTAATCTATTAAATAAATCTAATCAAGAAAATAGTACTATTTGTAAATGTAGGCAAAGAATGACCGAGACTTAGATTGCAAAGCTGCTCTTCAACGTCTAAGAGGGGAGAGAGTAGATATTTCCGCAGAAGTGTCAGAAATTCAAGTATACTTTTAAACTTTTTTTTCGTTTTGGTTTTGGTTTTTTTGTTTTTATTTTTAAACAAAGGCATTTTTATGTGTTTTCTAACCYTATAGGAATACACGGAATTGCTAAAACAACTCCCTGAGCCAAGTGTTCTTGATCTATTCCAAAGGCAATATGCACGTTCTCTCATTGTGAGCCTTCAAATTTGACCTTAGTCGGGGAATTTTTAACATCCATAGCACTTCATCTTTTGTTTACGTGGTGATTTTGAGCTGTTGTGTCAGGCAGGAGTTGGCCTTATGGCGCTGCAACAATTTGGAGGGGTTAACGGCATTTCATTCTATGCAAATTRTTTATTCACTTCAGCCGGTATGCGAAAGTCAAAACATCCACTCGTTCATGGTTTTAGTTCCAAAACATTAGGCACACTAAAAGAAGCAAAATCCTTTGGATTTTGA